GTTTCAGTCACAATGGATGCAGCAGGCATTATGGTGAAATTGAGAAAATTAATCCATCCACTAAAATAACTATGTTTTACTCATGACATTCAACTTGTAGTGATTTGATCATCTATTCTAAAGATGGAAAAAATTATCAAAGCATTGAAAAATATTGAAACTGACGGCAGCGCAACTTGTAGTGAGAACAATATTTAAGTCTTTGGTTTTGAGCTGATTGAAGATAATGAGCAAATACTCTCGTGATTTGTTAAATCTTTAATTTAAATCTTTAATTTAACAAATCACGAGAACTTTCACGAATTGGTATTCTAAAGTTATTTCGCTGCTCTTCATTAAAAAATAATATTTTTAATTATAGAGTTGTGTAAAAGTGAAATACTGTATAGAATTAAATCCTGTTATAGACTTACAACTCGATGAAACAGCTTAGCTCAAATGTTGGAATATATAATGTTGGAAGATTTGTTCTTTTTAAGACTGTATTCAGAGGGCTATGATTGATCTATCCATGATGGTGAATCTGACTGGCCATGTGATTATACTCAATGAAAGGAGTAGAGTGTCTTCAAACTATTAGAGTCACAGTAACTGACGCCATCTTTAGGTTTATATTTGAAGAACTTTCAAAAATTAATATCATTTAGCAGAGCTTTGCAATATGAATTAAAGCACCAAATAAATGAACGAAGAGCTCTAACATCAAATGCGTTATCATGTCTCTTTCGGCTCCTTCTTCTCTGGCTTACAGCTCTGAGTGGGCCCTGGCCTGCCTCTGAATATCCTTCCAGTCTTCCCTATCTTTCGTCCTTCTTCGTCTTCTAGTTCCGACCGGTCGATTGCTTGAATTCTTGTGGGTTCATCTTCCTCCATTCTTATCACATGACCCATCCATCACAAGCGGTTGATTTTGATAAAATTAACCACCATATCGTTGTATGCCTGATATAATTTGAAGTTATATCGTCTTCTCCATAGTCCGTTCTTTCAAACACCCTAAGTACCTCTTCCTCGTTTGACAAGCACCCAAGTTTCTGATGCATATGTTAATACCGGTCGTATTAATGTTTTGTATAGTTTACATTTTGCCTGTCTGGAGAGATTTCGCGACCTTAGCTGTGAGGATAGGCCAAAATAGTATCTGTTCGCCATGAATAATCTTTTCTTTAGTTCCTTGGTTTTGTAGTTTTGGCTGTCTATTAGTGTTGCCATCTCCAATAGTTTATCTTCAATCTTTATATATCCTTGTATGGTTCAGTGTCGGCGTGATGTACACATATATTTAGACTTGGGGAAGTTAATGACCAGCCCCATATTTAGTGCAAAATTTTTTATTTAGGTGAATTCCTTCTTTCACGTATTGCTGCAATCCTACTACAATCACTATATCGTCCGCATACGCCATTATCTGTACACTCTATATAGTCCCACTCAGGTTTACCTGTGATTCACATATCACGTTTCAAAGGGCAAGCTTAAATAGATTACAAGACAAGGCATTTCCTTGTCTTAATCCTCTGCTCATATTGAAAGGTTTCGATAGTTTCCGTCTGATTACACATTCGACATTTTCAAGGGTTAGTTTGACCATCTCTATCAGAGAGCCTGGTATCTAGAATTCGGTCATTAGAGAAAATGCTTTTTTACTTTACCCCAGTGTGCAACTTGGTTTTTTTATAAAAATATTCAGCCTCTCGATATTTGTCTCAGCTTTTGTGGCAGCTTGCTCAGGTGTGTGGACTATTTTTGATTCATTGATTTCCAGGATCAATGTTACCCATATGCCAGAAAAATATGATTTAACATTGCAAAAACTGAAATAACGTCAAGTATATTAATCCGGTTGTTGACCATTAAATAGTAGTATTCTATTTTAGGCATCAATCATGCAAAGAAAATATTAACAATAGCTGGTATCGCGTTCTTACAAAGATTACAGAAGATTGTTGGTCTTTACACGTCTCCAGTACTATATACGTAAATATGATTTGGTACGCTCATAAAACTACTAACTGTTGTGGCGATTAGGGTTTCGCACTAGCAATGAATGACAAAACATACTTGGCCAACAGTTGTTTAGGCAGCAGGAATCGCAATGTGGATAAATTTAGTTCAAATTTTCCAGGCAAAGAGAGAGTTCCATCCATGTTAGAAATGATGATAACAAGATAAGCCAAAATGTCGCGACAAATATTAAGGTGCCAGTTTGCAACGTTTTCAAGTTTAATGAAACAAGTTTACAGGACTTATATGCATTAAAAGTTCAGTAAACTGCCTACAACAAGTACGAGATTGACCACGGTTATTTTATGAAATAAAAATTATATTTCATAATTTAGGATTATTACGTTCTAGGGATTAATGTTAGTTAGGTCTTTACATCTTAACATATTTCTCTAAAAATCCACTACAAATGAGTTTAGTACACTCATTTAATCAAATAATCAATGATTTATTTTATTGATGCTTTCCATGTGGGACTCACAATTAGTATATATCTAGCCCGACAAAATTATGGAACATAATTAATAATCAATAAAACAATTACTGTACAAAAAGGCTATACAGGTTGTACAAGTTTGTTTAATCATAACACATATAATAGAACACACACATTTCTTTATGGTCATTTATCTATAAGTTATGATGTATTCTATTAGCTATGACAATTTATATGGTACCATATAGGGTTTGATTTAAATCTTTTGAGGAAATTCGGAATAAGTATTTTATTTGTTCAGTACTAAAGGATAATAGCAGCTAAAAAAAGCAATGTGATATAATGAAAAAGTTATATTCCATCGACTTATTTTAGTCTTATCATCTCCACCAAATTTTGGTGGAGATGATAAGAATATTAACACCTATTTAAAAAAAATTTTAATGGCATGTCTTAGAATCAGAGCTTTTGAACAACACATAAATTAGAAAACTAAAAATACTGGTTAACTCTTACGTCAAAGCTTATTTGATACATATACTTATCATTTTTAATTATTTTAGTATTTAGTATGGCTCTGGCGTTTATAACTACATTGAGCCACTTTAGTATCGAGTCTACAAGTTCTTTTTGTTAGCCGCAGCGAAATTTTCTGCTAATTTTTGAATAACATCTTTTTAAAATGTTCTTTGTTTTATACCTTAAACTTGCATATATTTTGATACAATGCCCATCGATTTTCAACTGGATTCATATTAGGTGTCTGTCCGAAAGTGATTTCAGATTCAAATAAGCTAACACTGTACGATTCATGACGTGATTCGAGACGTTATCTTAATAAAAGTACAAATTATTTGCCATGCCGTGATTATCAACATTTTCAAGCAAAGTTTGATGTAGAATTTGGAGATATATATTTTTATTTGTAATTCCGACGATAGTCACTGTTGAGGACATACAGGCCAAAATCATCACGCAGCCGCCACCATACTTGTCGCTTTTAAATTTTCTTTTTTCAGCTCGGTATTTGATTTGTGCCAGATATGAGACAAAATTTTCTAGCCTAGTTCCAAAACTTGGAGACGTTTGAAATATAGGACTGCTAAAATAACGAGTCACGGAAATCTTTTTAGCCAAGTGAGAGAGCAAACAATAAAAGCAGCTTGAATTTTGGGATTTCTGTGAGACTGATACCGAAAGTAAAATCAAAATACATAAAACGATAACAAAACCCATCATAGCATACGCGGCACAGACAAGACCAAATACATTCAGGATTTATAAATGATGAGAATAGACGAGATGAAAAAACCAAGAAGTATACATGGCAAAACTCTATATGACAAAATACGGAACGAAGAGAGTAGATGACATGCGCAATAAATGACTTAGGAAGATGGGTGAGACAGAGGCAAAGATTCTGGGACAGATTCGTTAAAAACGCAAAAATTAATAACCCAGTAGGAAAAAAGATCATAGGGAAGACCACAAAACGGATAGCGAGCATGCTATACCTCACCTCCTGGAGAAGACGTGTTGGCAATGAACAGGCGGTAGCCTACTAATAAGGATTTCCATATTAGAAAGAAGAAAAAGTGTAGATCACACTAAAAATTAAGTAACGTTCTCGATCATATTACTTATTATGGAACACAATTCAATGTCAAGACACCTATCACAAACCCACAATGTAACTTTATCAAATAAATCATGTTATTGAAAATAAGGTAATTCCAAAAAATGCGATAACTGTATGTAGATGACAACATTTTTGGAATGGTTATAAAATGTATTGGGGATATATAACAATAACAGAATAATAATTTAAGTATGAAGGCTTTCACAGCCGGTGTTAATTAAGTAGAACTAGAAACTTTCGGGTTAAGCCACGAAACGTTTCGGATGCCATATTGCAACCTCCTTCAAAAACAAGTTCGAAGTAATTTCGAACTGAATATGTAGTTATATTAGTCGGATAATGCGACTGGAGATAAAAATGAATCCATTGGAAGATTTGTTTTTGCTGATTTTCTGAATGATTGAAATCATACGAATATAGGAAGACATAAATGTTGTGGGTGTATGTAGCGAACATTATTATAAATGTATATGGAGAATTCGTATGTAACTTGTGTTAAATTAAATGAGCCAGGAAATACCCACATTGTGCTTGGCGATTTATCTTGTTAAGACTTTTCTGTGTAACCACATTGAACCTTCAACCACTAGTTCTAAGCATCGCTATGGAGGCGTGACAGGAAAATGATGTAAAGACATTACTTGTCTGCTTTAAGATTTCCTACACAGTAAACTCGTTAAGTTATAAATTTTTCAAGGTATTATACGACGATGTAATCTAATCGCAAAAAAAATGTTTACGACAAAAACATTATGTGAAATTCAATTTTTTTAAATTTATTTTATGCATTCTTAAAATTTGATATGTACCAATTAATTCCAAGTCAAACTTTTTCATATAAACCACAAATGATTTAACACTTTAACTAATTTAACTTGATTTAAAAATTTTATGTGCAAAAAAAAAAGATAATTAACTTACCTGCATGGTTTGGGTACATTCCCTTTTTAAACCCACCCTTACAAGTAGGAATTTTTATCAACCAATCAACTTCTTTATTAATTGAAGGGTTTCAGAAGTGGCCAATAAATTATCGTTTCTCTAATGGAAGCTTTTAATTACGTAATCGTTTTTGAATCGATCCTAGAACAAATTAATTGTCATTAAGTAAACTTTTAGATTACCAAACGAAGAGGGTGATTAAAAGTTTAGAAAAAGATTTTATAGTTAAATAAAATAAAACAACATGAACAAATACTGTTAATCTTTTTTGAACTTTTTGTTGCAAACTGGATTTGTCAATAAAACCCACTCACATTCATGATGAATAATTAATGAAATCGATAGATCTCCCTTACACCTGGGGGTAACCATAAGGGAGAGTGTTCGGTGTAATTATAATTCACAAAAATGTTTCATGATTTTTAAAGGAGTTTTAAACTAGATTAGTTTTAATTGAATAGTTTTAAACTACCTGTTGAGTTTGTCTTAAAAAAGAAATGTTATCGATTTTTATGAGAACAAAGACATGTTCTTTTCGAACAGATATTAAGTTAAAAAAAGTTTAGTTGATGAGAATTTATTTGATGCGGCAGCCTATCGTGAATACTGCGGCTGTTATTAAAACCAGAGACAACAGGTGTTCATTGCGGCAAAAGTTTAATTTTGGAAATTGCGGCTATATTTTAATAAAACACGTCTTACCTCCCACATTTCTTATTTAAATTCTCTCATTCACATACTCTTTCAATCTCATTCAATCTAAAAAATTAAAAACATACAGAAATAACAAAAAAATAATATTAATCACCCTCACGTTTCTTTACAACAATTAACAACAAAAATTTATTTTGTTAATTAATTTTTCACCTCAACGCTGCGTTTAAAGCTTTGTAGATCAATAGATTTTCGTCGTCGTTTATAACAATTTTTAAAAAAGATATCAGTGGAAGGACAATGCAAAGAGAAAGTTTTATTTTTGCAATGTGTTGAGAAGGGTTGTTTTTGGATTAATATTGAAAATAAAAGTATTCGATGTGCGCACACAATTAAATTTGATTGTAAAACGCGCGATTCGAATTTCTCCGACGAGTTTTCGCGACCAGCAACAGTTGTTAACTGAGGTGAGTTGAAAACGCAGAGCGTCGCGACGCCTAATAGTACGTTGCTGGTGCTGGGTGAGTAGGCGTCGCGCGCATGTTGTAGCATGACCCTCTCTTCCGCACGGGTCAAGGTTCAATGTTAAATGCCGTCACGTGATGCACATCGCAACGGGGTGGTTAAATTTCGATTTTACAACTAGATATAAAATTATTATTTAAAATAATTTCATGGGGAGATAAAATTTTATTATATATAAGAGATTTTATAATAATAAATATTTATAGGGGGGTTTAAAAATATATTATGAATAATATTTTTTTTATATTTACTCGTTTTTATTAATAAAAAATTTTTAAATTTAAAAAAATGTTTCATAGGCAACTCAATCTGCAACAAAACGAATTTGGTTATATATTAATCATTAAATAAACAATTTTATTTAAATTTTTATCTTCAAAACAATTTAATGTAACTTAAATTACAAATTTTGAATTAAACAACGATTTTTTAATAATTTTTTTTTTGATATCAAACTTAACTTGGTGCTTAAATTGCGAATTCCGCTTTTCGTTTGATTGTTAATAAAGTAGATAACTTTCATTTTTTTGCCAAGAACTTCAATTAGCATACCTTGACGCCTCACTGTCGATTTTATGTAACGCGTCTCATATGTGAAAGGTCATATCCTAAAAGTCAAACCGTTAAAAAATGAACTTTCATTTTCAAATTCCTTTCCTGTCGTCTTGGTAATGTTAAATTTAGAAAGTTTTGAGTATAGCGCCACTCTTAAAATTAATGACGATGCTTAAACAATTACCTTATCATATATAACTTATTTTAATTACGCCAAAAAAATTCTCCACATTGTAAAAAAAAATTTCAAAATAGTTTTATCCTCATTCTCTACCTATAGTGTGCATCAAATACATTGGCATCGGATTAAACGCCACCTTGCTTTCCAACATGTAAGATTCAAGGCTGTCGGTTCAAGCGGCAACTTGGTGGAAACAATGTTAAAGGTAGCACAAATTAACCTTCAACATTCCTAACGAGCAACCGATGTCCTCTGAAGAAACTTATAGCTACAGGGATACTTTGTAATTTTATTTATAGGTAGGGTTTGAAAACACCAAGGGTAACTTGTTTTGTGACATTAGTTCTAATAAAATTAGAACTTTATCAACATTTTCCAACGGCACTTTATTATTGTAGCGGTTTGACTACTCTAGGTGAAATATTAATCGTTCAAAGTCCTGATTGTTTTAACCTTAGATTATCTGTTATATGAAGATCTACTACGTCGTTTCACCCTACGCCTATTAACTAACTCAAATATTTTTCTTAACTGGACTCGTTCAATGGCTGTTTGCCCTATCCATTGCTTTGTACGTATACATATGTCAGTTTTCTCTTTCCACCCAAAGATGTACTTCTATTTCCATTTCATCAAGTTCTTTATCTATTCCTTTTCTCCAACTTATTCTTGGTCTTCTTCTTCCTTTGGGCGTCCATCGCATCCTTACTCATAGGTGGTTTACTATTATGTCTTCTATTATGGTGTGTGTTACTTCCATAATATCGCGTATTCTGCCCTTGGTGACTGTATCCATTTATGATTTAGCGTGCTCTCTTCACTTGTAATCCATTTCTGTTGTCGTCACAATTTTTTTGTGTTATTCCTTTAAGTGTCATTATTATTATTATTGCTGCCGGGCTGAAGAGAGCGGCCTCTCTCGTTACTGCGACCTATAAGATCTATTGTAACTTTAGCCCTCCAAAGGTTTAGGACAAATGTAGGTCCTTAATGAACCTTAGTATTGTCCCGAGGTCCTTTATGTCGGTAGGTAACAGGGGAGTTTTACCGAAAACGTTGTGCCTTAGACGGAATCTGGCGACGCAATTGCACTGTATATGTTCAGCAGTTTCTGACTCGTCGTTGCATAGTCGACAAGTTTGATCCTCAGCTTGTCCAATGTGGAAGAGGTGGTATTTTAGGGGCACATGGCCGGTTAGGTAGCCTGAGAGCGTTCTTAGATCCCCTTTGCTGAGGCATAAAACCTCTTTGGTTTTGTTTTGCGACGGAGTTATCATACTCTTCGCTTGTCTGTGACCTGGAAGTTGTTGATTATTTGTTTTAGGTGGCTTTTTTGTAGTCCACATACAGGTTGGCGTCCAATGAAGGGCGTGTTTGCTGCCTCTTTGGCCAGCTTGTCGGCCTTCTCATTGCCCTCAATGTTGCTGTGATCTGGAATCCACCATAGGGTAACATCATTGCCCCTAGCGAGTTCTCTCAGGTTGTTGGTGCACTCTCTGATCAGTGCGGAGCCACACGTGTAGGCCTGAATTGCCTTTAAGGCGGCCCGACTGTCTGTGAAAATGTTTATGGATGCACCTTTTTGTCCCTTCTGTAGGTTCAAAGCGGTGCAGAAGTTTATAGCAAGAACTTCTGCTTGGAAAATTGTTAAGTCCGAGCTGAGGGGCAATTTGATGTGGCTATTTGGTCCACTGATGCCCATGCCTACTCCAGATCTTACTGTCTTTGAAGCATCGGTGTACCAGGCTAGGGCTCCTCTTTTTAGTTGAGGCCCTCCTTTCGCCCAATCATCCCTGCTACTAAATATGACCTTATACGGTTGGTTGAAATTGTATTCCGTCGGTATAAGGTCCGTTTTAATTTCAATCAGGTGATTTAGACATGGGTCTTTGAGGATCTCGAGGTGTCCTCTGAGGTTACCCTGCATCAACTTGAGTGAAGAAACTGTTTTCAGTGATAAGGCACTTAAGGCTGCCTCCTTTTGTATATATATGTGGAGCGGTGTGAGACCGAGTAGGGCTTCCAAAGCAGCCGTCGGACAGGATCTCATTGCACCCGTTATGTTAAGACATGCTAACCGCTGGATTTGTGCCAGCTGTTGTTGAGCTGTCTTATGTTTTGTTTTTGGCCACCAAACCAATGAGGCGTAGGCGACCATGGGTCTGATTATTGCTACGTAGGCCCAATGAGCCATTCGTGGTTTGAGACCCCAGTTCCTTCCTAGGAGCCTGCGGCAGATCTGGTTTGCCATGATGGCCTTTTTCCTCACCTTATCTAAGTGTGAGTTCCAGTTTAGTTTACTGTCAAGTATTACCCCTAGGTATTTAGTTTCTGTTTTGAGGTTAATAGTTCTGCTTTCAATGGAGGGTGCTTTTATTTGTAGCTTCCTTCTCCGAGTGAAAGGGACTATTTCGATTTTATTGGGATTGATGCTGAGCCCATTGCTTCTGCACCAAGTACTGGTGAGTAGTAGGGCTTTCTGCATTAGCTGAGTTATGATTGAATCATATTTACCTCGGATTGTGATTACCAGGTCATCAGCATACCCTTGTATCTTAAATCCGTTTTTAGTTAGGATGTTCATCAAGTCATCAACTACCAGGCACCATAATAGAGGTGATAGCACTCCCCCTTGGGGACATCCTCTTAGCGCCTTTATAGTCAGCGACTCGCCTCCCAGACTGGCTGTGATCTGCCGACTTTTCAACATGGCTATACACCACTTGATTGTCGACGGATGTATGTCTTTTACGTTTAAAGCCTTCTCTATGGATTCATATGAGGTGTTATCAAACGCACCCTCTATATCTATGAAAGCACAAAGGGCTATCTCTTTGGTTGCAATTGCCTCCTCTAAGGTGCTAGTCAAAGCATGGAGAGCGGTAATTGTTGATTTTGCTTTCTGGTAAGCATGTTGGCTAGGGTGGAGTGGATTTGTGAGAAGCACTCCGTTCCTTAGGTATTGATCGATTACCTTTTCCATCCCTTTGAGGAGAAATGAAGTTAGGCTAATTGGTCTGTACGCCTTGGGGTCCGCGTTTGAACGCCTACCACCTTTGGGTATGAAGACCACCTTTACTTTCCTCCATAGAGTGGGTATATAGCTAAAGCTGTAGCTAGCTATATATAGGGATATTATTATTGGGAGAAGTTCTTCTAAGCCTTTTTGCAGAAAGATAGGCAGAATTCCATCTCCTCCAGGTGATTTTAGGGGCTTGAAATTCGAGATAGCCCACCTTACTCTGTTGGGTGTGAAAATATTCCCAGCTGTGCTGCGAACCCTACCTGATGGACGGGTTATGTCCATTACTTCAGGGTCGGCATCTGCATGGGGGCAGACTTTTGAGGAAGGAAAGTGTGTACTCAGTAGGAGCTCCAACGATTCCTTAGCATCCTCTGTATATTTACCATCTTGTTTGCATAGGTGGCCTAGATCAGTGTTGTGATCTTTTGCCAAGATCTTATGCAGACGAGCAACTGTAGGCGTATTGTCTATGCCTTCACAGAAGCTGCGCCAGGTTTTTCTTTTGGCTTTGCGGATAGCCAAGTTATATTCCGTTAGGGCTTTTCTATAGACATCCCATGTTTGCTCGAGTTTGGAATTCCTGACTTTATTATATAGTCTTCTAACCATGACTCGCTAGTTTTCAAGGTCCTTATTCCACCAAGGCACATTGGATTGTGCTCTTTTGTGTTTTATTGGACAGCTTGATTCATACGCACTATGTATGAGATTGTTTAGTTGAAAAAAGGCTATTTCGAGATCCTCTCTGCTTTCAATCTTTGTTTTGATTTCATCAATCTCTTCGTTGATGTGTCTACAAAAAGAGCACCAATCAGTGAGTGAGGGGATTCTGAATTCTGTTTGTTTTGTCATGTCTGCTACAATGATAAAGCGAATATGCTTGTGATCCGCTAAAGTGATTTCACGTGAAACATGCCAGTTTGCGATTTGCGAACTAAGGCGAGGCGTGGCTAGGCTTATGTCTAGCACCTCTTGTCGACTCTTGGTAACAAAAGTCGGTTCGTTACCTCTGTTGAGGATATCTAAATTTGTAGTTTGAAGGTATTGGTAAAGATACTCACCCCTTTTGGTTTTGTCTGAGCTGTTCCATGCGAGATGATGTGCGTTCGCATCGTAGCCCAGGAGGAGTTGTTTCCCCCTCTTATTGCAATAGTCGATGAGGCTTTCATCTCTTGTGGCGGTGGATCGTCCGATTCACCGGGGAAGTATGCCGAGGCTATAATCGCCTCTTGCTTACCTCCCGGAGTCGGCAGTACCGCTGACATTGCAACCAGGTCCCTAGAGATAAACTGGGTTAAAGGTAGGCAGTTTAAAGAGGATTTAGCGAGTATCGCTGCTCTCGCAGGGCACTCTCCTCTGTGATAAAATAACTTACCTGCTTTTGTTGATAGTCTTCTGACTATTCCTCCATATACATATGGCTCCTGAATCAGCGCAACATGTATGTTGTGTCATACATTGCTACTATACGTTATTATGCTCGTTGGAACCTAGAAAAAAGACAGAAAGGTGCATCAATAAACATTTTCACGGACATTCGGGCCACCCTAACGGCAATTCAGGCCTACACGTGTGAATACACTGATCAGAGAGAGTTCCAGGTTACTAAGACATTGAGGGCAATGAAAAGGTAGACAAGCTGGCCAAAGAGGCAACAAGGACGCCTTATTGGACCCCAACCTGGCTGTGGACTACAAGAAAGCCACTTAAAACAAGTAACCAATACTTGGGAGGCTTCAAAGTAGCCTTACGCTGAAAAAAACATCAAGGTCACGGACAGGTGAAGAATATGATAACTCTGCCACAAACCAAAACCAAAGAGCCTCAGCAAATTGGATCTAAGGTGGCTCTCAGGCATTGGACAAGTATACCACTACTAAAAACTACTAAAATACCACCTCTTCCACATTGGACAAGTTGAGGATCAAACTTGTTGACTTTGCAATGACGAGTCAGAGACTGCTGAACATATACTGTGCGAATGCGTCGCCAGAGACCGCCTAAGGCACAAAATTTTCGATAAAGTTCGCTTAACTCTACCGGCATAAAGGAATAAAACGTTGGAGCAATAGTAAGGTTCATCAAGAACCTCCATTTGCGCTAAACCTTTGGAGGCCTTAAGTTACAATAGATCTTATAGGTCGCGGTGACGAGAGCGGCCGCTCCCCTCAGCCCGGAAGCAATAATAATAATGCTCTTTACTACAGTGTTATAGATTTGATACTTATTCTTGTACGAAATGATCCCACAATTATTGCTCTTCTGCCTTGTTTGTTTTTAACCTTTATGGTGCACTGTAGACCACATTGGACAAGTTGAGGATCAAACTTGTCGACTTTGCAATGACGAGTCAGAGACTGCTAAACATATTCGCACAGTATATGTTGTCGCCAGAGACCGCCTAAGGCACAAAATTTTCGATAAAGTTCGCTTAACTCTACCGGCATAAAGGAATAAAACGTTGGAGCAATACTAAGGTTCATCAACAACCTACATCTGCGCTAAACCTTTGGAGGCCTTAAGTTACAATAGATATTACAGGTCGCGGTGACGAGCAATAATAGAGGCAGCAATAATAATAATAACGCTCTTTACTAGAGTGTTATAGATTTGATACTTATTCTTGTTCGAAATGATCCCACAATTATTGCTCTTCTACTTTGTTTGTTTTTAACCTTTATGGTGCACTGTAGAGTTCCGTCCCTGGTTATTTGTGCTCCCAAATATTGGCATTAACTGGTATATTTTATGAACTTCATCGCTTCGCCGTTTTTTGTGTATCAACTTCCAGTCCCCATTCACTGTATTCCTCTATGAGGTTGTTATTCATATATTCCCTAAAATGCTGGTTCTGTGCAACTACTATCTGGTTGTTGGCGAAACATAGTATGTAGATATATTTTGAAAAAGGTTGTGGACAGACATATCACATCTTGATTTTAGCTGTTGCTTGCTGGTATAAATTTTTTACTGTCTTTATTACGATCGTACTGATGTTCGTTAATTTGATAGCTTAAGCCCTGCTTTTTTTCACTAACTGGGAGACACAAAAAGGAGTAGTCTATTGTTGCTCTTCCTCCCCGGATTTCTGCTTACTCCTCTGCTTCCATATCTCTGTACTCTAGGTCTATTTTGCTTGCCAAGATTTTGCCATATACAGCCATATAGCTTATATATTTTGTATATATAGCATGCTATACTCTGTCATTATCACAGTTTTATCTCTCTCCCTTTTTATGTTTGGTGGATATAAAGGCTGACTAGAATGAAACTTCTGGAATTGGTTTACGTTAAGGCACTTCTGGACTAGTGTCTCAAATACACATTTTATAAGCACTAATTTTTCAAATAGTTACAAGCTTTTGTTACAACCTTCATGGTTATTCAAATTGGAAATGCAGTTATACGTATACTTTCTTCCTTCTCTTACTGCTTTAGGAAGTTCGATTTATCTTCTGTTAGTAAGTTATTGATGATGTTATGTCTCCTCCCTTGCTATGTCTTAGAAATTTCAGGATCGCTGGGATTTTTCACTATTTTTTTGTCCGCCTATATATGTATCTATTCTACTGCATGTCTTTCCCCATGTTTTCATTGATTTTGATCGCAAGTGTTTTGTTTTTTTTTTCTTTTGTTTCTTATTGCACATCTTTATAAGGTTGTAGTGCTCTTCGTTGTTTTCGTCTAAGTTTTTTGATACTTTCATCAACTAAGCTGTCCAAATTAAATCTTTTCTCTTTTTTCTTTTTTTTTTCCGTATGTGTCCCTTTTTCGAATTTCTTCAGAATACTATATTTGCACTTAACAGATGGTGACCACCGTATGGTGATTGTTGCCGTATGCACTCTCACGTTCAGTAAATTTAGATTTGTTTTTGTCTTGTTATTGTGTAGTCTGTTATGGACTTTAGATTCTTTGTTGTTTGTATGCAGGTGTGTTTATGTATATTGCGGTGTGGGTAAAATCCATTGGACTGGCTCATTATAAAGTTATTTTAGTATTCGGCAACTTCACTCTAATTTCAGCACAAATACATTAGTAACCATGTGGTTATAGATATTCTCTCCAAAAAGTTATAAAAAGTTTTCCCTTTCGATTTCAAAATAACTGTCTTACAAGAAAACATACCGCAAATAGTGGGACCAGCTTGTAACACTGTGAGGGACAATACGAACAGAATATTCTGAAATTTTGTTGTAGTATAATTAAAACATAATAAATCTCATTAAAGAGAAACAGGTTTGTTTCTCTTGAATGCTGTGTAGATTGCAAAAATGAACTCTAATGAAGAACAATGATTAAATACTGATTCTGGAGTCGTTTCCCTTAGGCCGTCTGCATACGAAGACATTCGTCATAGACGCGTATTATAAGCGTCATGCAGCGACGCTTCTTATACGCCTAAAGTTCCGCAAACCAATCGATTTTAAAATGTATTTTATCTAGTCAGTATATGATGTTACCAATAAGGATATATGGAAACAAATAGCAAATAGATTTTTTGCACTTGCCAAACTGTTTAGGAGCAATTGACGGAAAACATTCGCATTCAGAAACATACGAATTCCGGATCCACCAACTTTAATTATAAATACCATCATTTTGTTAATCACAAAGTCTCCTTACTTTTCAGAGTAGAATAGTTTTTGTTTTATATCACTTTCTTCAAACCAAAGGCAACTGCTAATTTAAAATTTTCCAATAACTACGATATTTCGTTTTTTTTCAAGTTTCTACAAAAACCATACATTTTAGATATAGGGATGTAACGACAAAATTTCCTTATTTTTCAGCATACAATACGCTGGTGAAGGAAAATAGTGGGGCTACTATTTAAAATTCAATAAAAATTGGTCCATTTCCGGTATAACCGAAAGTTGTAGAAAACTGAAAATATTTTAGCTGAAACAAGCTCCTCAGACAACCCTTGTATGCCAATTTTCACAAAAATAATGCCAGTAGTTTGCCATATATACATATAGACTCAACTCGTCGTGACATACCCTCTACTATCTAACTCTGCGAGGCATGCTCGGAATGAGATGATCAATGGTGTCTTGTAGAATCTCATTCCAGGCTTACTGTAGATGACAACAAAGTTCCTGCAACGTGTTTGCTGCTTGTGGTAAACGCCTTGTATAGCGACTAATCACATGCTCGACCAGGTATAAATGCGGAAAGCGAGCAGGAAAGAGGAGAATTCCTACTCCTTCTTCGTGTAGGAAGTTCTGACAGATCTGTTGTGATTTATTCAACGTTGTCTTTTTTTTGGTACTATAGAAGTCTGGCTCTTTTGTGAAGTTGCGTCAAAGGGAGACGTCTGCCGGTATGAGTGGAGATTAAAAGATGAAATTCGTCGGTACACAGTTCTCCGCAACACTATCTGAATCAGATCTCTCATCCAGTTAACACCAACTGCAGCCGAAGAACGAAATTTGTCTCTTCACTTTCGTTTATCGCTCATCCGCTGCCAGGATGATGATGTTGCAACTGCCTCGTGCAGGCGAACAATTCGCTCTCTTTCAAAGTCAGATTATTGGCCGTTTACCCCTTCCACGCATTGTTAACAATCAAGAAGATGAAGCAAATGGCATTTTTTTTTGGGATACAGTTTCTAATTTTCCTGTTACAGATTGACGGTTTCACAGCAAAATACCATACACAACGATGTGTTTATTACCGACTTTTTACATGCATCCAGTTGTTTTGTTAAGATTCCAACTTGGTGACTCATCTTTTTCGGTGTTGCAATTTTTTTGACACGTTGCGAAAAACAGTGGGGAAGTGCTGACACTGGAGCTTACGTTTGTAAACTCTGTGTTCTTCACTCTCTCTATATGAAAATATTAGTTAGATGGATCCAAAATTAGCTGGATTTGATAATAACGCCAAAGAATCTGAATTGACATTAGAAAATAGTACACCTAATGGTTATATTGAATGTACAAAATAGACTTAAATACATTATTTACAAGACAGGTTTTACCTGTAACATATATACACAATAAGAGGCATCGCAATGGTGTCAATGCTTGCAATAAGTTTACAAAACATTTACCTATAAATAACATCTCAACACTGCCAAGCCAAAACGGCATAAAAGCCAAACTGGTCACTTTTTACTTAGCTACACCGTTAAACAGGATTTTTAAATCTGCATCCAACAGCTAAAGCGACATACTCGCAATCAAACTTCAATCGCTACAATATTGGTTTAAAGTTTGTGCAATTGCCTATTTGAATAAAATGTGATGACAGTTTTTTGTGTTACCTGAAAAATCAAGTAAATGCCATTTATGGCATTTTGAATTGGCAGCGTCCATCTGTATCTAGCAAAATAGTTATAGAATGAATTCAACCATATTGCAATTTTTGCAGAACACTCTATAATATTTTGTACAACAGTTTAATATTATCAGAAAATCTGTTAGAAAGAAGTACATATTTTACAAGTATTCCATGAAAACTGAAATGGAAATGTAGTAGTTATAATAATACGAAAATAAAGAAAACTTGGTCTAATTGCTGAACAAAATTATAATCACGACGCGCCACTAAAACGGGGACACTGAAATCATGTACTAATAATAAGTTAAAAACGCATAACATAAAGAAAGAAATGACAGTCGAGTGTGCAAGAGACGGAGAGCAATAATTCTCTCCAACCAATAAACAATAAATTATATGCGGTATAGAAAACTAGCAATCAAAAAGGCACAATTAAAGATTAAAACCTGATATTTTTATATTACAAAATAGTATCTGGTACTGCAATGATGTAAAGTACTTAGAATAGACGTAAAATAAATAGGTTTAATCCAGAAAAGTGGCGCCTTTTCACCAACAGCTGGTTCATAAACCCTAAAAAAACTTTACTACACAGCTTACATCCGTCTTTTCCAATGGCGTATTTCGAGCACTTTTTCGTATAAAACCTCTTGAAATACGAAAAGCATAAGTGAGCAATTGAGGGACTTTAAAGTGATCGAAGTTTTAATTAAACTCCAAAGGAGTGTAGAAAAAAACCATGTTATCTGTACAACGCAGCTGGGTATGACTCTTACATGAAGAAAGAGTTGCTAAAGTCCACATATTTTGTCGGTAGAAAACGCAATATTAAATGGAAGTCTTTATTACACGGTATAATGAATAGTAATTAATGGAAAATCTATCTATCTACTTAGTAACTTATTAACTGTAGAGTTTTAATGGAACACGTTACCTTTCTATTAACCTTTTCTCCATTAATATTTATCATTACACATATACTAAAATATGTGCTGTATTTCAACACAATAGGTTATTTTCAGCGACGCAAATGGAAGTGAAGTCTTTTATAAGAATCTACAATGTGCACTATTCTTGAATACGGTGCTGTTAGGACACCAAACTCAGAAAACCACTTATAGCTGACTAAGTGCTCTAAGCCGCTTTTTCGTCAACGAAACTGACTTAGGAAAAAATGTTTTACCACATTAATTAAGGATACTTAAGATGTAACAAATGCATTATACAACAAACAATACCATTACCAATCGTCGTTGTGATGTACAAAATTTGTTTTTTTCAAGGAAGTAATACTTAGATGAAGAAATTTCCAATAATTTTTGCTTTTATAATTAAGTAGATATTTCTAACAGTTTTTAAAATTGACGCGGTTAACCAAATGATACTCCCATCATTATGCAAGTAAAAATCATATTATACTCTTACTCGTCCTTATAACTATACTATAACAAAACACACTCCTACCTCTCAATCTATGTACAATTCCTCCTTAACACATCACCCCATTCTCCTAACAAGTCCCCTTGCTTTGCTAACATTCAATTATTTCCTATTTTCCCCTCTATTCTCATCCGTTTTGTCCACTTTTCTCATTCCAATGTCATTTCTTGCAACCCATCTCAGTTTCACCCTCTTGACATCCATCACCCGTTCGAGTTTTAAGCGAGATGAATGAGTAACCTTCGTCTTTTCACTCACTTCATTACCACTATACTACTACTACAAACACAGTTCCAAAATTTGTCTCCTAATTGACATGTTTTTGATACATTTTATATAGTTTGCAAGAAATATATTCATTGGGCGTCAAAAATATTCTCCCTTATCTAATTTGAAGACGAATTAAAGTTTTGAACATCTTATATAAGATAACTGCGGTATCTAGACAATGCCGTATCGTCAGAGAATGTCTGATTGGTAATCTTTTTTAATTCTATATTAGTTTTGGTATCCCTATAACACTGAGGTTTTATACCTTTAGGTAATCCAGAAGGATTCCATTGTTAAGTTACTATCGATGTGTTCCTACTCAAATGTTAAATTTTCTGGCTTTTGACTTCTGAATGTCAACTTCACGACACCAAATTTGTGCTCAATAACATCATCATGTACGGTAGAAATTGGGTAAAATGTGGCCTTCTAATTATGCAATGTAGAGAATTGTTCATTCTTTTCATGTAGATTGTAATAAATCTATTGGTAATTAAGTTCTTAGTTTCTCGGACGGTGTTGTTAAAAATTAAACTAAAACTATTGATTCACTAATGACTTGGTAGGTACTGATATCCTCTTCATGCCTTCTTGTGCACTTAGTACTTTTTATCTAGTAATTTGTTTATTTCTATGTGTTTGTAGATTTTCTCTCGATCTTCTTATGAATCGTTATGACAAAGACAGAATAGTGACTAATTTTTTTGCAGGATTCTCAAACAAGCATGTGTACTGTCTTGCTACGTGTATACGTACAATAACAAATTATTTAATCCGATATTTGCAGCTTTTGAGTCCAAGCACCTTCCAGTTGAATAAATTTGTATAGCTCACTTAACTTCTTCTGCACATATTTTCCAACCTAATTCAGTTTGGATGCTTAGTTCTTTCCCTCTTCAAGTTGTCTTGGTGATTCTGCCACTTCAGGGTCTTCTTCGTCTAGTATATTTTCCATTGTTTTGTTTCAGGGAATTGATCGAAACCGTTCTGTATAACTCATTCATTAATAATATTAAACCACCAATTTATTCATTGCGCTAATTTAAACGGATTTTCTCTTTCTGCTATAGGCGAAGCAGAGATCTGGTCGTAGATACCATCAGAAACCTCTGTCCTTACGGCTATTGGACGATCCAAAAGTACTTTTGATGAGTACTTTTATTGATGTTGATATTCGAAGACAACAAGGTTTCATCACCATATGCGTTTCATATCTTAAGCCTGCTTACATGACATTTTTATTGCATTTTGTTACTTCTGCCAGATCAAACAAGTAGTTGTCTTTTTTGATATTACACTCCGACCACTGTAAGGCCGTATTCTCGCGATAGATGAACTGCGACTTCCATAATGCTTCCACCTAGCTGTTCCAGGTTCGACCTATCGAACACAGCAGGATATAGGTGTCGAGTTAACACATAAACAGTTTTTATTTATCCTGCCGTCCACTTTCGATCAAACACGACCAGCGCAGACCTAACATATCCTTAACTTCCTAACCTTCCCTCACCCATAAGTGGTTCCTTAACCTCTCAACACCTCACACATCACCATCCTCGCTTCTCTACAATTCACCTCTATAGCCGTCCACCTGTCCATTATCAATGTTTTTATACATTTTTAGAACTCCGGGTATTCCACATCCAGGACCGAATGTCTACTCCTTCTGTTAAGAACCGTACAATTTGATCACAATGGTGCCCAGTGTTCCCTTTTAAAATGCTGAGGCACATGCCCTCAAAACCTACTACATATTGCTTCTTTTTTACAAATCATTGCAATGCTGACAAAGGACAAACCCGTATTACACCTTTCCTCTTACAATATCATCCAACTTCCTTTCAAATCCTTTTTACATCTCCAAAACCACGTTACTCCTATCCCTATTCCCATTTCGCCTCATATCTCTCCTTTGTCATTGACCTCCTCTAACTTCGTCCCAGTTCCCCCCAAGCTCCTCTTTTGCAATTCCTCCTTAGATTCCTCGGTACTTACATACTTGTCAACATCATAAACAACAGCCCGTTTTTAGACTCCGTTATCCCTAATCTTCCTTAAACCCATCATCTTAATTGTTATCATATATCATTAAAAGTCGCAATTATTCATTTCTTCCTTCGGCGTTCTTAATTATTATTACATTCCGATCTTCTTTATGAGGATTTATCCTAAAGACCATCACCTATGCATAAGATAAACATGGTGCCCTCTGAGCAGACAATTCACTTTTTATTTCAGTTTCTCCACTTACTCAATTCATCTCATTCTGAATCAGCAACTCGTGAAATAGAGAAATCACTCTATTAGACTTCTCTAGTGTTGTAAAGTATTGATATTTGCAGTTCATTTAACCGAATCTTTTATCAATATCTGCTGTAAATCCTCCTTTATTATCGAAGATGACCTAACCTCCACTATTTGTGCCACAATATTTCGAAGTGAAACAAAGTTGTCGATAATTTGTCAAAAACACCATTATGTACAAACGATGTCTGTACTTACGCATCATGAATCCAGACGCAAAATATAAATGATAACCAGAAAAGAAAAGATGTCGAGAAAATCTCAAATCTATTTTCAAAGCATTGTGTTAAGGATGTCAAACTGAGAAATGGCTACTTTGGCGTAGTATATAAAGACGTTATCGCGAAGTTTGGTTGCCATAAAACTGTAATCACTGATAACGGGACGCAATGTACTGGTCATGTTTTTCAGGATCTCTTAGATGATTTGTACATTTATCAAAGACCGATATTGCTCTACACATCGTAAGTCAACCTAATCGATTGAGTGAAAAGAACCATTAAGACCACGATGGCTCAATTTTGCGGAGATAATCACCAATCAAAGGATAAATCGTCAGCATTCGTAAACGCCGGAAGGAAATTCAAGGTTCAAACCATCGCAATAGACACAACATTACCCAAGATAAATTCTTTTCTGTCCTGTGTTGTCTTGGACTACTGATCTTGGACAACTGTTTTGGTCAACTATTTCTACAAAAATTGAGCAAATCAGAATGTGATATTCTATTCATCAATTTAAAAGAATATGATATAAATGCTGAAACTATACAAGTCAAATGTAATGTAATTCTAACCTTAGTTCAGAAAAGGAGGTTGTTGAAAGAAGGTAACGATTTTGAAGTCACCAACCACAACGATGACGATCTTAATAACACCGCCCACAAAATCTCAATAGTTTTCATGCAAAACAATCAACAATGATCGATAAACAACATCGATATACAAATGAACCTTGACGAAGAGGTCGTACACTCACACCTATTCCATCATAGTGATAGAAACCAAGGAACACTACCTATCAAAAAATAGCAAACTTTGGTTCCATACTCTAAAGATATGGGAAATCCCCGATTAGCAATCAATTTTTTTAGGACAGAATTAATATCTACTAGACGATGGCAGTTTAGATATGTTAGGTTTCAGTAACACTCATATTTCCAATTTCTTCAAATACATTGTTCTGATCGATGTGTTTTCGTTTACTTTAGCACTAGAACATTTACAAAGACTATGTGAATTAATTTCAACTAAATCTAAAAAGTTGTAAAACATCTCGCTGATCAAGACACTGTTTTGATTGCAACGATATAACGATGAGTCTGATTGTAACTTAAGATGTGACGAATTACGTTTATCACCTTCGAGGTACATCGTAGATAACAGAGGAACAACCTCTTTTTGCTTTGATTTTGGAGGACAGTAAGAAAGTATAGCATTAAATTTTCTAAAAGCAAACATAGCTCAATTCTCAATCCTTGTGTTAACCTGAACGAATGACTGTGACATGTCAGTTTTATTTTTCGTCTATAAGGTTCTATTCTATAACTATGGTTGTAGAATGTTGATCATCAAGCTTTCTAACAGTATCGGTTGATGTGAACCAATTATTCATGGCAGCATTGCAGTATCATAAATAGTTTTAGTAAGATTAAATGAATAATATTCAGCAAAAGGAATTCCTTCTGGAATTGAGCCTTACAATCATACACCTCAGCATTTAAAAGGTAAAAGGTTTTCGCATCTAAAAACTTTTATACCAGATTAATCTGAAGACCATACTTCTAGTCCACTAGATACATCACGAGCATACCCTTTATTTCCAGGACGATGTTAAACTTACTTTCGAGCAATAATTCGAAATGTCATTTCTCCTGGATTACCACTTCACTTGAATCCGTTTAATGTTCACATTATTAAACTGTTGTTCCAACTGTATCACTTCGACATTATGCTTCTAGTTTTTGGAGCAAATTAAAATCTTCTTTGTTGTCTGAATCGCTATCACAATAATTTCTAAAGTCTCCTATTACTGCTTCTTCTTCTTAAATATCTAATTTAACGTCTAAATCAGATATATTTTCAATGATCTCGTCAATATATTTTCGAGTAACTGATCTAGAAGAGCTATATGCTATGCTGTATGCTAAAATGTAAATATCTTAACTATATAAAATGTGTTATAATGACAAATAAACATTACTTGATTAGATAAAATTATGGACTTGTCGCACTAATACTACCCAGGGACACGCATTTTAATTTACTGCGGCAGTAAAGCAGTTTAAGAGTTCTTAATAACAATAAATTTAATTCCAGTCTACTTAGGAATGCTATCAAAACCTTGCGAAACTGGTTAACAAAATAAAGTTGCTTTATCACGGGTGCCAGGTCACCAGAACATAGAATGGCAATGATAAAGCTGACAAACTGGCTGGAGTGGCCTCGAGAGATCGATACATTAAACCTATACAAGAGTGGATGCACGAAAAGCACTCTCAATCTCTTAATTAATCTACTAGGGCATAATTATGAATGTAAATTTGCCAAAAGTCAAATTCGATGTAGATTTTTATATCGACGGATTAAATATTGAATACTAATAAATATCTTAATAAATAAATCTGTTATTTTACTTCCGAGATAATTAATTACATAATCAGTTCAATAAAAATGCCCATATATGTTAAAAGTACCATTTAACGCATCTGCATTTTCTAAATATAAACGTTGCGGTTCTCCTTGAACGACCGCCGAAGAAGAAGACCTTTTACTTTTTTATTACTGTTTTCAACAGGACTTGAAAAAAACCCAACTTAAAGAGGCACACATTGTATTCGTATTCGTTAGTATTTTAAATTGCAATCCATTAAAGTTTATTAATATTATAAGAAAAATTTTATAATTATTTTCTTTTTATTAAAATGATTTTAATGGGTTGTATTTAGGTTCTTAATAATTTTTAAAATAAACTCATGAAAGTTCAAACACATCTCTTCTTCACTTTGCACCTGACAAACAAATTATTCAAGTCTCTGTATATGAATGTTTCTTTTGAGTTCAATAAACTTGACTCTTTCTTTGGCTTTGGTTGTGGGTAGTTCCGCTTTGTATGTGATCGGAATGCGTATATTATGACTACGTTTAGTGAATAA